AACTGACTTTAAAATTCTACCATTTCAAGAACAAATCCAAATAAAGTTGATATCTTTTATTAGATCCATTGAATGGGAAATATATTCAACCTGAAATCTAATTATGAATCATCGCAAGCAAAATATGTAATTTTTTTTTTATGTAAATCAGTAAAACTGCGTAAAAATATTGTAAAAGATTACAAAAAAAAGTTAAACAATGAATAAGATTTATTAGATCATAATTAATAAAAACAAATATTAAATAAACGTTTATATAACACACTAATACGTTTGCGAAGATGTATTTGAATTGTTTACTAAAAATCACACAAAAACTACTGCACTGTATAAGAAATTAAATTATAATATTGTTAAATTATTCAATATAATTTCCCTTTGAAGTAAATGAAGGTCTTATACGGTGGCCCAATGTTTTAGTAATAATGTCCTTATGCCATACATCTTGTCCATATAAAATTTGTAAACCTTCAGAAAATTATAAATTGCAACGCTAAGATTTTGGATCTAGACTTAATTTTCAAAATGGTCTCCTTAAAAAATCGGTAACGATTTAGAAAGAATTATTTTGCGTCGTTATTTATCATGTCAAACTGTAACTTACAAATTGAGTGCAATACCATGCTTCCAAAAGCGACCTGCCCTATTTCCCGGTGCAATTTTAATATCGGGAGGGGGGAAAAAAGAAAGGTTAAAAAGGCATTGATCCGAGGCATCAAAATGTACCTGCCATTCAAGTATTTTTGTCAAAGGAAAGTCCTTTTTGTAGTAAAATAGAAAGGAACTTTTATAATGCCGACAGAAAGTCGTTTTCACTTGTATATCAAGTTGAACTGCCTCAACAGTCACACCACGAAATGTCTGAGAATGTTCTGTTTACCATAAGAATAAGAAGGGCGTCTACCATAGAAGGTTATTTATCTTGATCGTCTCGCCAATTATTCAAGAGTATAGTAAAGCCGAATACCGCTAGGCGCTCTACAGGCGTTACCTTGTGCCAGACTAAAAGAAACCAAGAAAAATGTACCATGGCAATATACTTTAAATTTTTTTTTTTTTAAATATATAATTTTTAATTTTTTTTATATTTAGAAAAGTCAGTGACGTTGCATTGGCTTTTTAAGTGTTTTCCGACATTTTAAAAATTTTCCTAGATTTCCTAGTGTTTTCTTACTTTTTTAAAAGTGTTTTCCTACTTTTTTTAAAGTGTATTCCTAGCTTTTTTAAGTGTTTTCCTACTTTTTTAAAGTGTTTTTCTAGTCTTTTAAGTGTTTTCCTACTTTAAAAATCAACGTTCAGAAATTTGCAACTGTTTCAGTCTCAGTGTAAATCTAAGTATTTTAAACTCTTTATCAGTTTTAAATATTGGTCCAGAACATAAGTTCAGAGTCATTTTAGGTGAATTTAAACAAGGTACCTCCACAGATTCGTGATATCTGTTGAAAATGAATTTAAGAAAAATTGAGGTTTTTCTTGAAGTTTTCATTTTAGTTTTAATTTCAAGCAAATAATTTAATTTTAATTATTATAAACATTAAATGGGACAAAATTTAATTTCTCAAAATTACATAAAATTAAATAAGTGTGTGTATGTGAGGGGGGGTAACAGATGTAAAAAAAAAATATTTTTACCAAGATTTTCTCAAAAAAAAAAAACATTTCGAAAATAATTTCATTCATTTATAAATATACCCCTGTGCAAATTAATTAGTTATAAATAAATACCCCTGTGCAAATTAATTAGTTATTATTTATTTTTTCTTCGTATTTTTCCAATGAAACATGACCCAGTTCACATGTTAGTACTTCGTATATGCATTCCACGAAGTGGTTCCTTGCAGATTGACCACAGATTCTCGATTAGATTTAAATCAGGAGAGTTTCCTGGCCAGTCGATAGTACTTTGATTTGCTAACTGTTAAGGCTTGCCAGTGTGTTCGTGCAACGTTACAACTTTCCTACGCTTCCTTGGAGTAACGTCCATCGCAGACAATGGCCGTAGGACAACTAATCGACAGTCGGGACAATAGTGTCTTGGCGTGATGAAAATCTGATGACGCAATATCATTCAAGGCCAAATAAATTTAATCATACACCCCGAAAATAGATTCATATTACTGTACACGACTGCAAATGACTTAATCTGAGGAAAAATAGAAATCGATTAAACCCTGTCACGCCAGTGGGTCTAAAACTGACCGCACGGTGAAAGAAAGGAAACTAAAGTTTCAATTAATTTGCAGAAGGGTGTAAATCCTGAAAGTTTCATTAAAATCCGACAATTATTTGACTTTTTGCAAGAATTTCCAAATCAACGTTTTCACCGTAAAAAAGATGCTATAATTTCCTATATTCTAATCTTTGGTCTACTTGCTAATGCAAGAAATCAAGACTTTTAACTAAAATTCTGGAGGTTCTAAAATGGTTTCTAAAATATAATTAAATAATCAAAAAATCCTTTGGTTTTTCCTTTTAAGAATAATAAAGGATAAAACTTTGTTTTTATTAAATTTGAGGCATTTTTCATCTTATTATGCTAATTCTTTAGCTAATCAGTGGAGGTACCTAAGTGAAAGATTTCTTGGGTAAGATGTAAAAAAAGAAAAATTACCAAGATTTTCTAAAAATGAAACATTTCTAAAATAATTTAAGTCCTGAAAGTTTAATTAAAATCCAACAATTATTTGATTTTTGTAAGAATTTCAGCGAGTTATTCACATCTTCGATGATATTCGAAGTCCGTACAAAGAATTTTTTATAATTAAAAAAAAAATAATCTGATTTTGGCTTGTTTATCGTGGTGAACGCGACGCAGACCCCACACTTAGAAATAGCATACCCGAGTCGCCCACATTTGGGGAGATCACAACAGTCAATCCAATCGCAGTGCAATGGAAAGGCATCGCTCTGAGAGAATTAAGTGTGAATTTTAGTAAATATAAATTCTTTTTATTTTAGTGGTGAAATAATATTTTGGGATAAATTAACAGAAAAGATCCTGACAAATTTTAAACCAAAATTTCGAAGTTTCTAAAAAGGATTAAAAAATATAATTAAATAATAAAGAAATCCTTTGATCTTTCCTCTTAATAATAACAAAGATTTTGACAATAAAACTTTGTTTTTATTAAATTTGGGGTCATTTTTCATCATACTATGATAATTCGTTAGCGAATCAGTGGAGGTACCTAAGTAAAAGATTTCAAGAGTAAGATGTTAAAAAGAAAATGAAAAATTATCAAGATTTTCTAAAAACGAAACATTTCTAAAATAATTTAATTCATTTGTGAATATTCCTGAAAGTTTAATCAAAATCCAACAATTATTTGATTTTTGTAACAATTTCCAAATTAATATTTTTCACTGCCAAAAAATAAGAGGCTAAAATTTCCCATACTAATTTATGTTCACCCGCTGACGTAAGAAAAAAAAATTAACCAAAATTTTGAAGGTTCTAAAAAGGATTAGAAAATATAATTTAATAATCAAAAAATCCTTTGGTCTTTCTTCTTAAACATAACAAAGATTTTGATGATGAAATTTGCTTTTATTAATTTTGGGGTCATTTTTCATTATGTTTTGCTAATTCTTTAGCGAATCAATGGAGATACCTAAGTGAAAGACATTTTCATATTTGTACATTCAACAATTTTTACGCCATTTTGTTATGCTACCTTCAACGATAGCAACATATGAAAAACTAAATGAACAGAAAATAATGAAATACAAAAATTTAATAAGGTGAATAGGAGACTGATTAAAAGTGAAAACAAATCATAGTATAGACTAGTTGTTCTCAAACTTTTTGAAGTCAGGGCACACTTGAAATCCTACCAATAATTGTAGGTACCGTATATACAAATTTCGGAAAAATATGCTATAATAATGACAAATATTGCAGAAAAAAAAAATAATGCAATAAAAATATGAAATAAAACATACCTTAAGTTTATTCGTTCTTGTGTTTAGAATAGAATAATTAATCCCGATTGACGTGTTTATGATAAAGTAACTAATTTATCAGATTTACTTAGAAACAAATAAGTGATTAAAATTATAAATGGTAAATTACTATGAAAGTAACCCTTACCAGTTAAATACAGCAAACCAAAAGCTTCCTATCATTGAAGCTTTCCTCGAGGGATTTCCGTAACGAGATGGGTACCGTAATATAATAAAGTAGATATATTTATTTCTTATATCTGGACACATATTTCTCTGGAAAGCCAGGGTGCACCTAGACATCTTCCAAGGTGCACTAATGTGCCCAGAGAGGCACTATTTGGGAACAACTGATATATATATATATATATATATATATATATATATATATATATATATATATATATATATATGATAAGATATAATTTATCTTATCAGACTTGTTCTCAAATTTAAAAGCCTTGATAAACCAATGACATTCTTGCTTTGTATATAAACACAGGCAACAAAATAAATCGTTACATTTGCCTTGATATATATATATATATATATATATATATATATATATATATATATATATCACTGGTTTTCAAACTTTTTGAAGTCGGCGCGCACTTGAAATCCTACCAACAATTGTAGGCGTACTATATACAAATTTCGGAAAATATGTTATAATGAAGTCAAATATTGTAGAAAATAAAAATATAAAATGAAACATGTCTTAAATTTATTCATTCTTGTGTTTATGAGAAACATGATCCTGATGAGTCTTAGCGATTTCTTCAAACTTTGGGCGTATATTTGATAGTTAAACTCTCATTTCTTCCTCAATGCATTGAAGAGTTCCTTTCTTTTTGCACTTAATTGTGGTGAGAGCCCCGAAAAGCTTAATCCACATAAATATGATGTTACAAACTGTAGCAAAATGGTCAGACCTTTTTAGATATTGACACATATTCTTCTTTTATAGAAATGTAAAAAGCTTCAAGAGATAATTCATTATATTTAATCATCAACCCACGATTAGTGGATATGGTAAAGTAACTAATTTATCAGATATGATAAATTACTATGAAAGTATGAATAAGACAACTTTTAAATAAACAATCTTGATCCTCGTCATCATTTTATCTTACATAATACATCTTTTAGCAATTAACTTTTTCGAACTAGACATGGAGGACTGATCAGCAACCATTACCAGTTAAATACAGCAAAACAAAAGCTTCCTATCATTGAAGCTTTCCTTGAGGGCTATACGTAACGAGATGGGTACCGTAATATAATAAAGTAGATATATTTATTTCTTATATCTGGACACATATTTCTCTGGAATGCCAGGCGTGTCTAATCTATCTATCTATCTATCTATCTATCTATCTATCT